ACTAACCTTGCGAAATCAAAAGCATATCAATTAAAACAGGGAAACAGGGAAAGAGCAGAGAAAACAGTATTTACATTATAGAACGTAAACCTGTCAGCAAGTAATTTTGATATACATATAAGATAACTTCGGTAGGCGATATCAATCATTAATTTGATCTAATACTTTCTAGTACTTCTACAAGATAATTTTGCTTAGTTTTATGTTCAATGGGTACTTTACATCTTTTAGGTGAAACACTAAATCTGTTATTGAGGATTGTTTTGTATTTATTTCCGTGTCAAAAGAAAAAAATTATCTACATATTTAGATGTGCAAATATACAATTGCATTCTTAAATATGAGAGGAGAATTAACAAAACAGTCCTTTTAATTCATAAAAAATGCATGACATGATTTGATTCTTTTTTATGGGAACATTAAATTAACTTGATATCAACTTTTCTCACAGTAATACAAAGTTTTATTTCAATTTCTTAATTATAGCAATACAGTAAAAAATTACTATTTACTTCATTTTTATTTTCTACAAATAAATGCTGTGATATTTTTAATTGGTAAGGTTTATATGAGGATAAAGTTAATCTCAATATTATACTTACCATACACTGAAATGAACGTTAAAAAGAGGATTTTCTTAACAAATTAGGATAAAAACTCATTAAAAAATACTTTTATACTAGAACTTACGCAGAGTTATAAAACAGAAAATGAGGAACATTAACAGCGTAGCTAAATAAGGAATAAGGAATAAGGAAGAGGAAGAAGATTGTAGAATCGTGTGTGTTGGTGTGAGTGAAAATGTCACAAGGCGATACAATACCCCTTCATCCTCATTTATCTTCTCAATCTGACATTGATGAGATCGAAAATCTCATGAATGCTTCTCCGGCCACCGTTCTCCCCGCCAGACCCCCCAGTCCCCCACGCGCTTCTATCCCTGTTTCTTCTTCACCCTTCATTCCTTCCAATCTTCCACCTCTTCCTTCCAAATCTTCTTCTTCTTCTTCTTCTTCTTCTACTCAAAATCACATTCCCAAACCTCCTTCTCTACCTGTCCCTTCTCGACCCGATCTGGCTCCAACCGGGTTTGGATCTCCTCCTAATACTCTCACCGAACCCGTTTGGGACACTGTGAAAAGGGATCTGTCGAGGATTGTTAGCAATCTCAAACTTGTGGTGTTTCCTAACCCCTTCCGTGAGGATCCTGGTAAGGCTTTGAGGGATTGGGATCTGTGGGGTCCATTCTTCTTCATCGTTTTTCTTGGTCTCATTCTTTCTTGGTCTGCTTCTGTTAAGAAGGTACCCTCTAACTACTTCATCTTTCTTTATACATTTTGATTTTATTTTATTGTATGGTTGTTGCAAATGCAAAATAAACAGAGTCTTTATTCCAGGATCGTAAGGGTTCCATTTGAGACACACTTATTGGCATGTTTGTCTTTGATATAAATCTTGATAGGTTCTTGCATAGTGTGGTCACAGCCTCAAGATGAATTGGAGCAAGTTTTCCTTAAATCACTCTTTCATGTCTTGATTTATTTCTAGCATTTTGTTAACATCAGCCCTTAGGGACAAGTATAAGGAATCAAAAGAGATAATTTTGTATTGGGAAATGATGCATTCACTATAACAAGTAACAGTGGACTTAGTTTCTCAATGTACACTTCCCTTTCCTAATCTTAAACTGTTAGTTATCCTTATAATGCATACCATTCGGTAATGGTTAACAAAACCGTATTGTTAATTATACTCTTTTATCTTGTTTCTATTGAATTAGTTCTTTTGCTGGATTCTATTCAATTTGTGGTTTAGCATTTGATCCGTCTTTACATATTGTTGACACTCATTATATATTGGTTCTCTCTTTGTGTGTATGTGTGTTGATACTATATTGTTCGGTTTGTGAATATACTTGATAGAGCAGAACTGAACAGAACAGGGTGGAATAGAACATATTTAAACTGTTTACTATGTTTGATGACCTTAGAACAAAACAGGACATACAAATTCTGTGCTGTGTGTGGCATTAGTTGAACAAAACAGGACATCCGTCTTTACAGGACTCATTGATTACAAAATAAGTCCCTCTCCTGTTTGTTTGAATTTATGGGTTTTTTCTCCATCTCTCTAACCGTGTCAAACACCATAAGTGATTTCCAACCATGAAGTTTGGTTTGAATCATAAAGGAAACTTGGTTGTATAGTTTGTCTTTATTTCATGTCCATTGCTGTGCTGTTGTATAGTGTATACAAGCCATTTTGCAACCAACACACATTCCTTTACAATTTCATGTCGGCAAAGTTCTTTAGTCTGGACATGGCAAGGTCACCATTTTTCTTTTAAATTGAGGAGACTCGATGAGATTTCTATGGAAAATGTGATAGACCAAGAGAAGGGGGATGGAGAGTTGGAGACAGAGACAGGCAGATCAAGGAATCAAGAATTGGATAGGGGAAGAGAATTCCACATAATAGAGGGTATCTTGGTCAATAATAATTACATCATAAGAGCTTTCTGTTCTGTTCCAGTGGTGGAACCAAACATGGGATAGAACCCATCTGTCTTGTTCATACCTCTCCTTTTCTGATTACACCTAAAGAGCTGAAGTGCTCATACTTTGAAGCTTTGGGCTGATGGGTCATCCAGTGAGCAAGTAGCCTGGTAGATACCAGTTATAATGATTTGGTGCTGCTAGGTTTATCCAGCTTAACCTTCAGTTCTTTAAACTTTATAAAACAGTGGCTGTGATGGATGAAATTAAGAGCATTTTATTGGCTATAATACTCTGAAATATATTTATATATAGACTGTCATTACCAAAGGACAGACCGGCAGATAACTGTTAGGGTAGTCTGTGTTTTCAGTCTGAAGGATTACTGCAAGATGCTGATTGTTTGAATTACTCGGTTGCATCTATCAACAGAATCTATTTCTTCTGTGATACAAAGAAATTGTATATAGATTTCTTTTCCTTTTATCCTTTCCGGGGTTTGTTTAGTTGACTTTCAATTGGGAACCTATATAAGTTTAATGAGGCATGATATGTTAGTGTGGAGCCGATAGTTGTAATTCATTTTACTAACATTTTCTCATATATGCCATAGCATTAACCAATTGCATATGTACCACTATAAAACTTCAGTTTGCTTGGAGTTCAGTTAGATCTGTATCAAGGGTTCAAATTTCTTAGTTCATTCCTTTGTACTGCTATTGTCATTTTGGTAGCTCCCTGCCTTTTTGGTGTTGTAATCTGCATGATGTTTTGGATGGTTACAAAGTGAATATGGTTGGTTTAAGTCATGTCTCCTTCCTAATATTTTCTCTGGTTGTTTCGCAGTCTGAGGTTTTTGCTGTTGCATTTGCTTTACTTGCTGCTGGCGCTGTAATTTTGACATTGAATGTACTGCTTCTGGTAATAGCCTCTTTCTCTCTTCCGTCTAGTCATTATATAGTGTCAGCTTTGATTTTTTCAGTATCTTGTTTCTGTGTTCTGTTGGAGTTTGGTAAAATATCTATTTTCATGTGCAAAAAAGGAAGATTTAATTGTACATAGAGGATGCCTAATTGAGAGAAAAAAGAGTTGGGGGAACCTAACCATTCTTGAAAGTTTACTTTGTGAGTGATGGGAAACAAATATTTGACTCTCACTCTTCAAATTTTCAGGGTGGACACATTATTTTCTTCCAGAGTCTGAGTCTGCTGGGTTATTGCTTGTTCCCTCTGGACATTGGTGCATTAATTTGTATGTTAAAGAACAATGTCATACTGAAAATTGTGGTGGTGAGTGTGACATTGGCTTGGAGCTCTTGGGCTGCATATCCTTTCATGAGTTCTGCTGTCAATCCTAGGAGAAAAGCTCTTGCACTCTACCCAGTTTTTCTCATGTATGTATCTGTTGGTTTTCTCATCATTGCCATTGACTAAATTCATCAATGCTTCTAATTACTATATTCCCATAACTTCTTGGAATACAATTCTAATAGGAATTTTTGTTTATTGATCAACCTTTTTAAATTCTTTTCACCCTTATTTTGTGCTCCTGCCCCATCTTTTGTATGTTTAATATTTTGGTTAGGTATATTTGGACACAGACAGTTGTATAATACTACGTGGAAGTTATATGATGGGATGAAACCTACAACAGCCATCTTGTTAAAGTTATGTTCACCCATTCTATTATTTAATATTTGAATGTGAATACTGATAATTTTGATGGACCCAGAGAAAGCCAGAAAGAGGGAGTTAGAAAATTAGTGTGTTATATTTTGGCTACATGCTCTCAACTTCGTGGATATTGATAACTAGAACTAGAATAGGCCACTTGGCTCCAAATTCTCTATTAATCTTTCCTAACTCAGCAAATGGCCAATCTCTCTATTTAAACTTGTTATAAGAATCTTAATAACAAATTAAGTCTAAATATTTTGATAGCCATGAAAATCTCACACCAATTGTGATTTAAAGTATTAGGAATCTGAGGTCCAATAAAAAGATATTTTTTACAATTAAAAAAATAATGTATTGATGTGAAGGTAAAATAAATGTAGTAAAATTAGTGGATAAAGTCCTATAAGCTATTTCAAGTTTTAAAGGGATCCTAAACAATATTTCTTTCAAATAAATCATGAATCTTATTGTCAAGAAAATGGTGTAGAAAGAAAAATAAAAGGAGAGAGCAATAATATTATTTTAAAAAATTAATAAAATGAGAAGGAAATGATGAGAGTTACTAAATTTGAAACAATAAACTTTTTTAGCATCTATTTAGAACTTGAAAATAACTTAGAGTAATTCATTAGTTTTTCCAACAAATATGTGTATTTTTGTACTTAATAATAAATTTATTATTTTTAAATTAAGTTATGTTAATCGTTATAAATAAATATTTGTGTACTTTCAAATAGTTATATTGTTTGCAGGTAAAGTTAGTATTTATTGTAAAAGTGTTTGATATTAGTGTAGGAAAGAACAAAATGTACGGTGCACGGAGTGAGGAGGCACATATACAGATGCATTACTGCGTCACTGTCCTCTCTGTTCTGTAACCATCTTTGGGGTTTGATGTGATAGATTGTGAATTTGTGGTACGTCAATGCTGAAGCGAAGAGGCAGAGACACAGAGAGAGTTTGCTTTACGTAATGGGTCACCTTTTAACTTTATCGCCAGAGTGATGTGTTGTATGGATCTCACATCTATGCTTATATTTGGTAACAGTATATATCTTATTTCATAATTTGTATGTCATCAATCAGTTGAAAAATATTTAATAATTAAACTTTCAATTTAAATATATTTTCTTAATCGATCAGTCTAACCTACTAAACCAATGTGGAGTTATTGCAAAATGTAGAATAGATGGTTCAGACACGCGAGAGAATAGAGAAGACGATTTTGTTGATAGAAAAATGAAGGCAACATTCATGAGGGTCACTGTGTAGTGTGAGGAAAAGGACACTGTTGAGCTAGGTTTCGTGTTAGTATAACTAATGAGGTTTGAAGATAGAAATGAAGAAAATGAATGAGTGAGTGTGTCAAGAAAATAGTTTTTCTGATCGCATTTCAGGAATCCTAGTCAGGCATCTGTTGCAGCACAAAACCTGATATGAAGATAAAATATTCATATTAGTATAAAGGAAAAAAGAATCATTTGAAAAGCTCTCCGTAAATTCACCCACTCAAGTTCCGCACCCAACCCCATAAAATTAGGACCCATCTCTGATTTCTTCCCATCCCCACACTCCAAACCCCGTTCTCTTTTTTCCACCCTCTATTCTTGGCCTAATTGTATCATATATTTGTGTAATGCTCTGAGGTACGAATGACTTGGTGAGTTGAAACATGTTAAGACTTGTCCTTACCCGACCCTAAATGTTGTTTGGACCATTTTTCTGAATATGGACTCTATCCTACATCCGGATTTAACCCGACCTTAAATATTCACAGGGTCAGTCTTTAAACTCGGACCCGACCCTAGACTCAATTAAATATAAAGTATACTCATTTTACATAAAGTCTTCTAAATATTATTTATTATGGTGAATATGTAATTTGACATATAAAATAATATATGTGTATATATTATTAAACACATATATGATAAAAAATTAGAGAATCAATGATATTTTCGACCAAAAAAATATAATTAGTATATATTTGAACAGAGACACATACAAACATGACGAGAAAGTGAAAATGGAACGGGTCGGAACGAGTCTCGTTTGGTCCCTACTTGACCCTAAATATTGATTGTGTCTAATTTTTAAACCCGAACTTGGCCCTAGACCCGATGAGACCCGACCCTTTTCAGGTCCGACCACGATCGGGACATTCCGAGTGAGCGGGTAGGGTAGGGTCGGGTCTTGCTCACCCCTACTTTTGGATTGTATAGTTATATCTTTTAATAAGTGTAATTGAGAGGAATCGATCACTTCATTTCTTTGTTCTGTCTGAAAATCTAATAAACCGTGCACGTCTATAACAACAACTTATGTTATAAGTTAATATGTTATATCCTTCCCATTGGCGCTGGTCCCTTTATTCCCTCCATTTTTTCCATAAACTTGCCTTCTCTATTCCCATCAGGCCATCCCCACCCCAATTTTGGTCCCATACAACCCGTTGTCTCTTGTCTTATTTGACTATTCAATATCTCAACTAATCACAATTTATTTGCTAATCATAAAGGACTAATAGCTAATTAATCATCTATTGGCAATTGGCAGAGAGAGAGAGGGGATAGATGTTGATAATACTATCCATTCCCTTCTATAAATACAACCTGGATCAGTTTCAATAAGTCTAAAACCATTCTACTCTTACCATCTTCCACAGGCGCCAAAAAAGCAGAAACCTTTAGAAGAAAGAAAGAAAAAAGGGGGAAATAATGAAAGAGTACTGGACCTCTTTGGCATCACTTCTAGGTGTCTTTGCTTTCTGCCAAACCATTATCCAATCACTATTCCCACCACACCTTCGCTTTGCTTCACTCAAATTCTTCTACCATTTCTTCCACTGCTTCTCCTCCTACTGCTACTTCGACATCACGGAGATTGACGGCGTCAACACCAACGAACTCTACAACGCCGTCCAACTCTACCTCAGCTCCCATATCTCCGTCACCGGAACCCGTCTCAGCCTCACACGTGCCCTCAACTCCACCGCTTTCACCTTCGGTCTTGCCAACAATGACACCATCACCGATACTTTTAACGGCGTTAATGTCCTCTGGGAACATATCGTTACCCAAAGACAATCTCAAACCTTCTCGTGGCGACCACTCCCCGATGAGAAGCGTGGCTTCACGCTCCGGATCAAGAAAAAGGATAAAACCCTGATCCTAAAATCATACCTTGATTACATTATGGATAAAGCGAACGAGATTCGAAGGAAGAACCAAGATAGGCTTTTGTACACGAATTCACGAGGTGGTTCATTGGATTCAAGGGGCCACCCTTGGGAATCAGTGCCGTTTAAACATCCAAGCACTTTTGACACATTGGCTATGGATCCTTCGAAGAAAAATGAGATCATGGATGATTTGCAAGATTTTTCAAATGGTCAATGTTTTTATCAGAAAACTGGTAGGGCTTGGAAGAGGGGTTACCTTCTTTATGGTCCTCCAGGGACTGGAAAATCTAGCATGATTGCTGCTATGGCTAATTACCTTGGCTATGATATTTACGATTTGGAGTTAACTGAAGTGAATAACAATTCTGAACTTAGAAAGCTTCTTATGAAGACTAGTTCTAAGTCTATTATTGTTATTGAAGATATTGATTGCTCTATTAACCTCACTAACAGAAAGAAAAACAAAATTAGTGGTGTTGGTAGTTCTAGAGGTTACTATGATTTAAGTGCACCTGAACTTCGAGGTGTGGGTGGAAATGAAGAAGGTGGTGGAAATTCGATTACGCTTTCAGGTTTGTTGAATTTCAGTGATGGGTTATGGTCTTGCTGTGGAAGTGAGAGGATTTTTGTGTTTACAACTAATCACATTGAGAAGCTTGACCCGGCTCTGTTACGTAGTGGGAGAATGGATATGCACATTTTCATGAGTTACTGTTCCTTCTCTGCGTTGAAGATTCTGCTTAAGAATTATTTGGGGTGTGAAGGTAGTGACTTGGATGAATCAGTTTTGAAGGAATTGGAGGATGTTGTTGACGTGGCACGGATGAGCCCTGCTGATATAAGTGAGGTTTTGATCAAGAACCGTAGGAAGAAGGAGAAGGCAGTGATTGAGTTGTTGGAAATTTTGAAGGTAAGGGCACAGAGGAATGAGAATATTGAAGGGGATGAAGAGCAGGAGAAAAGGGCTTTGGATAGTGACAGTCCTAGACAAGAGTCTCAGATTGAGGACACTTGCAAGGAAGGTGAGGTAGAAGAAGAGAAGATTGAGTGAGTAATACTAGATTAATAGTGATCATGTTGTAACAATTCTTCTACGGGAAATGTTGGATGAAGCTATTGCCTTAAACATGTCATATTGTTCTGTTTTTTTATTAATAGTTTTGAAAAATGGAATTTTATGGGAAATTTATTTGCAAGATCAATTTTGCACACACAAAAAACATTATTGAATTTGATGAGTTGGTTTATGTTTTGAGTATATAATCTTAAATATTATTATACCACAATAATCATTATCTAAAATCAGAATCTATATATATGAAACACTTGTTTAAGATTTTGTTTCCCTTATACATTTTGATCTGGAGGATGGAAGGACTTTACAACCAGACATGGTTGGGGAGCCAGCTGGGATGTGTTGGTAAACATCTGGGTGCACATGGTACGGGAAAGGTTAGTAACTTGATGCAACATGTAGGGAATATGAGTAATAAGTGGGGTAGAGTAGTATTATTGCCTAACAAGTTGATCTTATAGAATTTGGTAACTATAATATTGGTGCTGTAATTTAGCATTATCCTACATGCCAAAAATATGTTGTTGGGGTAATGCCCTGCCCAACCCATAATTGCATGCTTCAGCTTAATAATTTGAACTTGGAAGAGGTTTCAAGATAGACCAATTGTCACACAGCTAAAAAATATACTTAAATTGCATATTTTGCATTTCAAACTGCAAAATAGTGAATTAGTGATTGAGATCCTGTACTTTTACTGGGAAGGTGATTTTTGTTAACTGTGTGAAACTTAGCGGAAAACCTTTTTCTTTAAGAATAAAAAACCAAGTTTGCCTTATGTGTCTGTTTGCGATTTGGATTATTACCGTTAACCTAAACTACTTACTGTTCGAATGGATATAATCAGAATGAAAAGGTTGCTTTGGGAACAAGTAAGAATTGTCTCTATTAATGGAGAGGTTGTACACGAGAGATAAACACTTCAAAACTCAAACATTTTGAAGGGAAGGAACATGAAGAAGTAGGAACTTAAGGAACATAGGAACTTAAGGAATTAAAGAAAACAAAAAAGTATTATTTTGAAGTGAATGATCCATGCCTTAGCAGAGAAATCCACACATGCGTGGAAGTCCGCATGCATGCGTTTGATTTATTTATTTTATTTTTTTAATTGAATTCAAATCACAAACATTCTTTTTGCTGTGTTGTTAACAATGTAAAAATTATGAGCATGTCAGTGAGCAATTCTAGACCCAAACATTAGTAAAACTCGATATTAAATATTATTCGATTCTAATGTAAAACAATATATACTAATGTATTACTCTTCTAATTAAAAATTACTTTTATAATTAAGGATTAAAATGTGAGCACATTTGATTTATTTTTGCTAGAATCCCTAGAAAAAGAAATTTTCTCATTTGATTTAGAGATTATCCAAAGTATTATTTAAGGAATTTAAGCATTTAATTTGGAACTAGATTAAATAATTTTCAGTACATTAAAATATAGTTCAAGAATTTTTTGTAAACAATATCTTAAAATACTTATTAACAAATTTCCTTTTTGCCGTATTAGAAGGGAATGAGTAAAATCTCAATAACCCATTTGTAAAATTTATAAAAAATCAAATACACAATGCAATTCAAACAATTATTACACACAGAGCCCGGAAAAGGAATAAGATGGAAATAAATTAGAGAGACGTGACTCTCTCTTCAATTGCTTCTTTGTTTCGTCATAACTCACAAGAGAGAGAGAATCCACGAGCAAATCCAACTACCTAGCTTCTCTTGATGCTCTTCTTCACCAGAGATTGCTTCGTATACGAGTTTCCTTCGAATTTTGGTTAATTTTGTGGTTGGGGATTTGGGGTTTTTGAAGATGTTGGTAGCTAATAGTTTTGATCTATGGCGGAAGGACTCTTTCTTCTCTGCAGCGGAGGAGGTTCAGGAATCAGCTGATATGTACGGCCCCGCTTTTTTATTTGCATTTCATTTTTTTGCTATTTATGTACTTATTTATTTGTATTTTTCTTTGTCTGTAATTGATTTTTTATTTCGTGTCTGCAAACGAATTTTGTTCTGCGTCTCGATTATTATTATTATTATGGTTCTGTTGGGGGCTTTTCCTTTAGTTCATTGACGATTCTAGTGTCTTTTGTTGCGCTGATTCTAGTTCTGGTCTCCTATTTTCCTTACTCAATTTGTTGCTGTTTCTTACACTTCTGTATTGTCTATTTCGGTTTTAAACTTGTAGTAGGTCGCTCGTTCATTTTTATCTTAAACAAAATTTATGCTCAATTTTCTATTTATTTATGGAATAATGCATACACGGGGTGGTGGAACATTAGCTTCAAAATTTTCAATGTTTTTATTTATTTATCTGGTTAAGTACTGAATTACTTGTCCCCAGCATGCCAGGTTCTTCTGGGGGGGGGGGGGGGGAACTTCAGTCATGGATGATGGTCGTGCAATTGCATGACCATTTCCCTTGTTAAGTTTTCCCTGATTTTGTAGGGAGCCTAGTCATTTATTGA